AGATTGTTTGTTATATGATTAAGTGAAAATGGATGCTAGTAATATAAGGTCTCTTGCTTTTAGGATTGCTTCCTTTGGTGTAGTTGGTTTGTTTTGTATCCTGGGTTGTTTGTTCTGATTGCTAAGGGGTATTGTAGGGCTACGTTTCTTATTCTGATTAAATATATAAGTAGTATTGATTGTATCTTGAGTAATAAAAGGATCACTAAATAGATTAAACTCTTTGACTCTTCTTTCAGAAATAATTAACTGATTGATTAATAGAATGGGACTAGAGATTTCGAATTAGAGGTTTTTAGAAAACGAAAAAGGGTTTGAAGATATTGGAATACCTAGAATAATAGTAGAATAAGTATTTAGTATAATAAAGGCTTTAGAAAAAGCCTTTATTATAGCTATATCCCCAAATGTTGATGGATTATTGAGACAATTCATATTGAGGATCTTATTCTTATTTTGATAATTTGAAATGAAAATTTTACGCGAATTTTCGTATACATTTCGTATTTGAAATGCTGATAACAATATCACAACAATTATTAATCAGAATTACTTGAGAGCAATTGCAATCAATTTGGTTTAATAATTATGATCTAAATCGATCGCGAAAGGATTGTATTTCGAAGAAAAAGTTTCCTTCGAAATTTGTTGTGTGTTGCATTTAGTGGAGTATATGAATAGAAATAGAGAATAGAGCAGGGGAAAAGTGGAAGGGAAAAGAAGAAGTGAAACGGTAGAAAAGGGCAGCAGTGATATCGCGATATAAGGTGGTGATATGGGTATAAAACAATGAAAGGTACGATATTTGATAGCAAGAAGCAGTACTGACGTGAAAGAAGGAATATATCGATGATGAAAGTTAATAATGGTGGTGATAATGAGCTACGGATGATAAGAAAATGGGAATCTAAAAGACTTGGCCCATGTATTGCGAAAGGAAACCGATACATCAGCTTGCTATTATCCTTCAAGGAGGGATGGAAGGACTGGACCCTCGCAGTGACTCCACATGGTATTGACAAGTTCCAGACGTGATCTGATTAGAGATGAAGTAAGATATAATCATGGGGATTTATATCCAGATTGGAGGAAAGAAGTAGGGCTAGAGATGGAAAAAGTGGATTTGCATTAAAGCGAAAAATTTGGGGGAGTGAGATGAGATGATGTGGGTATATTGTTAAGAGAATATAGGGCAGTTTTGGTATTGTAAATAAATCTACTAACAGGAGTTGAGTTTGACTTTTTCGGTTAGGATAATTACTAAACTCCACTTAGAAGTTGAACATGTTTGTGGTGTAGTATAGGAGTTTGCAGTGTCTAGATTGAGGTGTTGAGATACGGTTAGAGGGGAATTTGGTAAGGAAAAAGAAGAAAATTGATAGTGCAGAGGGCCAGAATTGGAGTGAATGTAGTTTTGGCGGTAGATCTATTCTGGACAACAATAATTATCAAAATAAGAAGTCAATAATCGAAGATTTCGACAAAAATAAGGAAGCAAAACAATCTCCTACAATAAGATGAATAAACTTGAGACTCGGAAAAAAATTCTCACAGCTGCTAGAAAAAACAGAAGTATGAGATATAGGGTAGAGATCCTTCGAATTCATGATATTCTGTCAACGTGTTGCTATGCACAAAATAAAAATATACGTGGAAAAGAGAACGTTTATATAAGAAATAGGATAAGATATGAAGCGAGATAAAGCAAGAGGAAAGGAAGATAAGAGGTACGATAGAGAAGAGATACATCAAGGAAGAATGTGAGCACATTTGCAATAGATATAGGGGACAAGTATAAGTTGATGGAAACATACACCAAGGTATATAAATACATACCGTCTTCGAGTTATAATTTTTCTGAAAAGTTACTTGCCATTTGTCAACTGCAAGAAGTATGGAGCTTTGCTCTTGTTCCTATTCACAGTGATGCAGAATGTAGGAAGTGGAGAGAAATTCGAGAGAATGCAGATGTGTACACCGAAAAATGGTAAATGTGAAGGTGAGGAATTGGTGACTGAGGATCCAGTGATAGCAAGAGAAGCGAGTGATAAATAATCAGAAGAACGGAGGTTGATGACAACAAGAGGAGTCGTTGATGATAATTGCAGATATTGTTAACATGCTTCTGGCGAAACTGGAATAGAGACCTTACTGTTCGGATTCTAGAGGAAAAGGCAAAAGGGCTAGGAATTCGAAGCCCATCGCGTCCCATCACTTTTGCAGTATATAGATATAGTTCCACATAAATCTGGAAAGTAAGATTTATATAAAGATCGACAAAATTTAGTATATATCTGAGAGGAGGAAGTAAGAGGTGAGACTTATAAGTCTATAAGAGCAATAATAAGAATGTTTTTTTTCCCTTCTAATTGTCCGATTAATATATAACAAATCATTCTTCTTTTTTTAAAGAAGAAGATCGATATTATAGATTTTAACTTCTTTATCAACTCCTATTTCACATTAAGTATCTTGATTAATTAAATGATTCTACAATAATAAAATATTCTATTTAGAGAACTTTAACTCCCTTTCATAATACAGATTAATATTAAAACTCTGATAGTAATATTTTCAATTTGATAATGACTTCAAACGCACTGGACAGGTTCCGATAGACCCCTTATTCGCTTGTTTGTATTTTCTCACTTAGCTTATACACTAGCCCTTCTTTCGTATCGAAATAGACGCAAAGATCAAGCCCTTAGCCCCGAGAGAGTTCTTCAAGGGATACATTAGACTTTTTGGCTTCTTGTTGGTTCGAGAAAGATACGGAAGACGTGGTTCCCACTATTATTAGTAGGCCCCTAAATGTCTATTTGTATTCAATCTAAAGAGCTAGCTAAGTGGGAAAATGGTAGGCCTTATATAGGCACTACTGAAAGAGCTAGTCTCTTTCGCATTCGCTTAATACCTTTGATACAGTAGCCATTGTATTGAAGTCATTCCTTTGAAGTGAATACCCTTGTTCACACACTTCTTTCCTTCTCTGATCGACATCAACCATCCTGAGTTGAAGTAAAAGCCAGCCCAACAATTGTAACATCAAGAATGAGCCTCTTATGCGGCCTCTCTATCATTCCAATACTGACTCTCCAATATCATAATTGATATCCTTTGTTATCCCAAGTATCAGACCCTTTTTCTCCAAGCGATGTTCTCGCTGTAATAGCAAGGTATTTTTGCTTTTCATCACGGAGTCGTACTTCTGCATCAAAGGTCTATACGATGACAGAGTAATCCATCCCTCGCTAAAGTCACAACCAGACCGAAAAGTTTGTCAGATGGGCTTTGTGTATTTCGAAGTAGATTATCTTTCCATCGCACCGCTTCGAGTGATTCTTCCAACCCTGTTCCTGTACCCTGAAAATATCTGCTATCTTACGGTGTCGAGATATAGGCTCTGGATCTAAACATCTGTATCAAGCTTATGCCAGCTCAGCGGCGAAAGTACTGTATGAAGCCGTATTTAATTGCATGATTTCTCCTACAGTAGATGATCGAGCTAGGAAAGGGTTGAGTTCGATGTAGACTTCGAAATTTGATAGCTTTAGAATCATTCCGGAAATCCATCTTGGAGGTTAGCTTTTATAATAATAATAGAAAGTCTAGTCAATTTAAGCTTAGGAATAAGTCGAATATATAATATAAAAATTGAATTGAAGTTAATTTATAAGGGCTAGACTGAATTGAAATTAAATTGCTTACTTTCTTTAGGTTTTCTTTGAAGAATATTCTAGATTTATATAATTTATAATGAAATTCTAATAGTTTTTATATTTATAAATAAAATTGATTTAAATTATATCTTATAAAACTATATTGTATTATAAAAAGAAAGTATACTAATAAATTTAATCTATTTTATCAATAACTTTCTATATGATTCCATATTATTTTTGTTAGAATAGAAAAAGATGTTTGTTACTAGCATACTGCTTAGTATCATATATATGATTTCCAACACTCCCCCTTAAGTAGTATGCCCTACAGCTCTTCCTTGGAGCTAGCTTCTACGCCTCTATGCGGAGCTAACCGGTTCCAGTTCCGGTTGCATACAAGTGGGTGTGTGGATCTTTTTCTATCCAATCGCAAGTTGCCGGATGTGGGTCCTTGTGTTACGATCTCATATCGTACACTCTACCACTGCGCCATCCGGGCTCATAACCTGTTAGAATAGAAAAAGATGTTTGTTACTAGCATACTGCTTAGTATCATATATATGATTTCCAACAATTTTACTCTACTATAAATCAATTTGATAGAAGATATTGTCACATAACTATATGATAATATAATTTTATAATATAAAATCATATCATACATATATTATTCATCAAAATACCTCTTAATTAGTAAGATATTAATAAGTGGTTTAATAGACTTATTATAGAGTTTCACAATCCATGCGCTAGATGGGCTCTAAAGAAAGAAATACCAATTTTAATGAACTCTGAATTTTGGTCTGCTCAATTGTTGGTAGGAAATCCATGTCAAGACATGATTTAGATAGGTTTGTTATATTAGAAAGAAAAAACAGTTCTAGGTGATGGTATTCAGAACAAAGAACGTTGCCGTATGCCCTTGAACTACAAGGGGATCAAGCTTTCGGTAAAATGATGGCTAAAATGATGGACAGTAGTAGTTAACAGTAGTCAGTAGTAGTTTTCCATATAGTTTCTCCATTTCAACAAACAGTTATTAAATTCTTAGAAACTTACATTATCCAGTCCAACTTTGATACTCATTTACAATCCATCCGATTCTCTTTTATTTCAAAGTCACCTCATCAAGTAGCAATTGAGTTCACCCCTTACCAAAGTTTCACCACACTGCTTATGTCTTATATCATGCCGATCCTTATCGCCTTACTCTTGGGAACAATTATCGTATCAAATTTTCTATTTGATTCTGGTATCAACACCATCATCGGGAGATTTTGTAATAATTTCACTTTCGCTCGACTTTTATTTATTCTCCTAGCAGTTTTAGAGATTATCATGTTAATTCCAGAGATCTTGAGGGCTCCCATTACGGCATCCATAGTGATGATCGAGATATACGCTCAAATAATCAAAATGCACACAATGAACACGAAGTCGCTTGCTGCCATCGACAAAAATGGGCTTCCCTTAATTCCGCATGGTCCTCAGCGACAAAAACTTCAGTCGCTCCAGAAATATAGCCTCTTTGTTGCTAAGATAGCGATGGCAGTTGCTGCGATTTTTTTGGGAACTATCGGTGTCATTCTTATCGCTAGTGCCATTCAATTTGTATCCGCGCTATTAAGTAAGTAAGTGATCGATTTTCATCGCATTTCATGACTTGTAGTCGGAATTTTATGCTAATAACTATATAGAAAGATAGATGCTACTGGTACTTTGTAATGAATCAAGGCAGTCAAACTGCAACCGCGCTACGATCTTGTCATTTACCTGGCAGCTTGTCTGAACAACGTTACTGAAGATTAAATAACATACGTCAATCTTGGAGAGTTGGGCGTTCCGCGATGAAGCTTCTTATCGTCGTCGATGATTAGGGATTTTGCATGGTTGGCGGTGCTTCCTAGTCACCATGAGCATTGTATATGGTTAAGGTGATACCGAGACTAGTACGATTCGCATTTATACAATTCTAAAATGCGCAATAATAATAATGGTCTCCAATAAATGAAAAATCGTGATCGCAAATGTACTTATGAATTATGGGTCAAGATCTAGTCTCTGAATAGTATTATTCGACTTCGTCACAAGTAATGATGATGATAGTTATATTAGTATTTCCGATCTCAATGTTTGAGGGTGTACGAGGGAATACAACTCTACTCTTTACGTGAGTGAATTGTGTCACTGAGTGGTACTAATTTATCTTCATGAACTTTTTTGAATTAGACGCGGGTCATGAATAATAAGAAATTAGAAAACAAGAGATCAGAATGAAAATCAGGAATCGAGGATATGTGGATTCAATGGTATCAAATCCACAGTAGGTAGTGAAGATGCTCATGCGTGACAGAAATAAATATCACGCCACAATACAGCTAGAGCAGGTGAAAGATCTTGCTGGCTCCAAATTCACTTTCTGAAACTGAGTGCACCATGAATCATTGATAAAAGGGTGAAGCTAAAGATATTTCACTCTAGATGTACAATGGATGTTAGCAGGAGAGTGCAAGTGATAATGAGAAACAGTAGTAATAAATAACCACCAAACATTGATAAGTACAAGCGAGCGGAGTACTACCGAACTCGATTCGATACTGCCTGAATAGAGTTGGCTGATAGAGAAGCTTAATAGGAGTAGCCACATTGCAGCACTCGCTGCATGAGATTTACTAACAGGGTTGCTTGATTCTTCACATTATCATGAGGCATGTCTAGCCTCTACTGAAGCCAGGATTGATTGGGAAGAAGGAATCAGACTAAGTACACCAGTATCGATAAGTCAGTCGAGTATCGTTGAGTATATAAGACTCCTGGGGTCGGTAATGTCCATTTTTACCAGCAGAAGAACTTTTTGAATAAACCCCCAAGCTCCAGTCAACCGGGGGAAGTATTTATTCAGCACTATAAGTGGCCATAGTATACTTGAATGATCTTTGGCGTAAGCTTCCACAGTGTATCATTGATAGAGTCATAAAGAAAGGATTTATCGGAATAAGCAATGATAATATTCGTCAACAAAAAAAATAGGTTAAAGCGGTGATGAAAAACTGACCGTAATCAACAGCAGCTAGAAAGTCAAGAATGACAAAAGATACTAGGTTCACGAGAACAAGAGGTGCCAGTCGGCATATCTGAAGCTGTGGGCAAGAGATTAAGTACTATAAAAGTGACTCTGGCGGAGCATATTGAACAAGAATGACACCTTGATTCACCGTCTGCAATTTTCCAAATGCAACTACTTTTTGAATGTCAAAGATGAACATGTGCTTTTATAGTTCTATCTGGGCTATTTTCCGGCTAGAAAGATATTATCCGACGTGCATCCTTGGTCAGAAAGAGCCTGGGGGGTTTTCGATTGAAGCAGAAACCGAATCGTAAGTCTTCAAGAGCTAAACTTCCATTCGAATTATTTTTCTTCTAGAGAATTCGGATAGTCCTCTGAGCAACAAAAGATGGAATTTGGACACAGGCTATTCAGCACAGGATTTTGAGCTTTATCATTTCACAACAGTAGACCGGAACTGCTTGATCATACTTGACATACAGCTATGCGCGACATTGATTCGCTTAGATATCTAAACACAACAATAAGACAGTGAAAATCTGCAAGTGTGAATAGTTGAGAAGTCGACGTTGTCAAGGCTTTAGGATTGAAGATCTAAGTTTTCGTCGAACCTATGCACTAACTAGTTGCGTAGAAGTGGAAAGATAAGAGATTGGATGTTTGAGTCCCGAATGGATTATTGACTGGTGGCTGGGGTAGATTTACTGCTCAAAGCTGTACAATACTGATCAATTTATATTTAGATGGAATACCAATCCATTCAATACTGTATGGAACTATGTAGGTATGTAATAGAGTCTGTGATAGGCGGGCAAGTGAGTGAGATTGTGTGGGGGAGAATTATATAAACCTTCTCAATTCTGACAGTGATTTTTCCAGTCGATAAATATGAAAATTGTGGATTTGACTCTTAGGGTTGGAATTTGGGTGAAGTATGCTCTGCAATTAACTTCTCGAGCCTATAGTATGACTCTATCACACAACAAATTTCGAAGGAAACTTTTTCTTTGAAATACAATCCGTTCGCAATCGATTTAGATCATAATTATTAAACCAAATTGATTACAATTGCCCCCTAGTGATTCTAACCAGTAATTGTTGTACTACTATTGTCAATATTCCGAATACAAAATATACACAAAAATTCGCATAAAATTTTCTTACTTCGAATTATTAAAATAAGAATAAGATTCTCAATATAAACTCTCTTAACAATCCATCAACATTTAGGAATATAGCTATAATAAAGACTCCTTCTGAAGCCTTTATTATACCAATCATTTATTCTACTATTATCCTAAATACCCCAATATCTTTAAACCCTCCCCCGTCTTTTGAAAACCCTCAATTCGAAATCTCTAGCCCTATTCTATCAACCAACCAGCCAGCCAATACTGAAAAAAGATTTAAAAAGTTCAATCTACTTAGTGACCCCTTTATTACTCAAGATATAACCAATACTACCTATATATTCAATCAGAATAAGAAACGAGACTCTACAATACCCCTTAGCAATCAGAACAAACAACCTAGAATCCAAAACAACCCAAATACACCCAAGAAAGCTATTTTGAAAGCTAGAGATCTTATAATACTAGCTTCCTCTCTTTCTCAATCACACGAAGAACAATCCAAGCTCTTAGATCTTCTAAAGATCTTTAGAGAATATATTAAAAAGAGAAAGCTTACTACAACTTCGAATATCATCACCTCTCAAATCACCCATTTGGAAATCGCTACACACAAAATCGAATCACAAGTGAAAGCATTAACTAAACCTCTTTCGCCCACTACTATTACTACCACTACATTGAAACCAATATATACTAATATTTCAAAAAAAGAAGAATGGAATTTAATCTTTAAAGGGAAAACATTATATCTATTAATATAAAAAAGAAATCTAACCTCATCCAAAAACGAATTATCTTAATCAAACCAGATTTTCCAAACCCTATCTCCTTTTCCCCTTTAATTATCCGAAACAAAATAAATGAAGCCTTTCAAAAGATCGGAATCAAAGGGCCAATCATCACAGTAGCAACTATATCCTTTAATAATAATATCATTATTATAACAAATAATCCCTTTATATTACAATTCTTATTGGAGAAGAAAGCGATTTGGAGTAATATTATCAAATTCAAAAGAATCTAAAAGGATCAAGAATGACACAAAATCATTATTCACAAAATCCTAATTAAAGAATTCTCAGGTATAAAAGGAATAGATCTTATATTCAACAAAATCAAAACCTTCAATCCAGACTTCAAGTCTATAGGAATCCCCTTTTAGCTTATACCCGCCTTTAGAAGAGCTTATTAACAAGAGAATACTATCGTTATTGCTTTTACTATAAAATCAGAAGCAGAATTAGCTATTTGAAAGCGATTATATATTGCTGAAACAGGAACTCATCATTTACAACCTAGGCGAGCGATTCACACATATTCTCCTTATTTATTTCCCCTGCCCCGGCAGGCTTAATCCTATTAAACCTTGTACTCATAGGAGGCTCCCATTATGCCGATGGCGATGCGCGCCCCTGGCGCGCTGAGCGGTTCCTCAACCCAGGGGGCGCTTCCCCTTTAAGCAGTCATTAATACCTTAGGGGCTGGTATACAGCCCTTACTAATTATAAGATCGCTTATAGGCTTTGCCTTTGGTGTAATCAAAAAACGATTCGAAAGGATTGATAAGATAGAGGGGGAGAGACAGAAGGTAATCGAGACATTTGCAGTGCTAATAGATAAGTTTGCATAAAGATTCCAAGGTTAACAATACAAACTCACCACGAAGTTTAAGAGTATGATTATCTCTGCTTTGCTAGGAGTAATGGAGACTACCCTTAATCAAAAAAAAAGCCCGCAATGGAGCAATTACAATCAGAAAGCAATATGCAGAAAACCTATATTGATGTATTGAAAATTCAGATGAGGCTTGAGGCAGCAAGCCCCATTACAGGCTTCACTAATACAATACGCTCTGCTTCTAGTGGAAGCACGAATACTAAATGCTCGGAAGCATGCAGACTCAAAAGGGAGAATGATTGGATCGAGAAAACAATCCTTATAATAGTTAACAGGAAAGCTCTGCTCTTAGAGACTAGCTCCTTCCTGCTAAAACTCAAAATAAAAGAGGCAGTTGCTAGAATTACATTAGCAGAGATCCCCTTTCTTCAAAGGAACAATACAGACTGAACATTAAGATACAGCTCTGATACTAGTCGGGAGGAAATCATAAAAATAGAAAATATCGAGCGAATACTTAAAACCTTTTATATAATAAATATATATAGATTAGAAAAATAGTTCATATATACAGTTCTATAAATACTATACAATTTTTATTATATCGAAAATACTCCTGCTTCTATACTTATTGAGCTTATCAAAAAGGAAATCACAGCTCAAATCAGCAAACAGCCAATCAACTATAGATTGATATGTAGCAGGATCAATCCAATCACTAAAAAAGCCATCTGAATTATTGACTTCAATATTATAATACTGTGGTTCCGATTATTCAATAATAGCTCCTACTCGGTTCTTCTAAATAAACCCCGGGAAATTCAATTTTACAATATTAGCTGCTTAGAATACTATAACCCCTTCATTTATAATAGAGCCCTAAGATACTTGATATACAATAAACTAAATACTAAGCATAAAGGCACACTTATATATCAGCAATATACTAAAGCAGCTCAATACACTAATTATTATGAGCCCTTTCGCACTAGTTATTCCAATTGCCTAGCTACTCCTAGGATCTACGCTAAACGATGGATTGTTCTGATTGCAAAGGAACTGGCTGCAGTTAGAGCTATTAGTAGAAAAGACTATGAAACACTACACAGAGCAGATA